CTTAGGCAACCCATGCGAAACAGTCGTTTGACCCCACCCCCCCCCCCCCCAAAAAAAAAGGGTCGCGACCAGCAGGTGGAGAACCGCTGTTGTAGAGTTTCACTGATGTTATCTTTCCATATGTTTATCGACTGCTTTGTACTTTACGTCCTACTTCTCTGTTGGTATACACTGCGCATAGTTTATACAAACCCACATGTCTCAATGCGTGGAAACGGTTCTTCACTAAACGTACTTGTAGCAGTGCCACAAACAGGGCCTGCTGAACTAAGTTTCTTCATGAAGCGCATTTTTCCTCGGATGAAGGTGACAGACACAACAGTTTACTGGCATAATGTGCATACTAGTATCTCAGTTAAGTCTAGGGTAAGCAATATCAAGAAATCAAATTTCAACTTTCGAGAGCATAAATCTTCCCGGTAGAAACATACGAATGTGAGTGGCGGATTATTTCGCAGCCCTTAGGAAAGGCGTTTGAGCTGAAATGCTATAGAAAGATTCCCAGAATACATTGGACAAAGAAAAGAAGAAATATTGCCAGTCTAACAGATCTGAACATCGAGGAGGGTTGGCTAAAGAAGGGCGTCTTGTCTCGGAAGCTAAAATATTTTCGTCATAGCAATCGCTACGATGTACTGAGGAAAAAAAAATGGTGGAGGGCATAGTACCAGGAAGGAGGAGAAGAGGCCAACCAACACGAATATGGGCACAGGATGTAACTGACTCCTTGGATATGAAAGTGGACGAGGTGGGAGAGCTGACGAGAGACCGAGTTTCTTTCAGGCAGACAGTGATGAGAGCGACGTTCTGCAAAGGACCTGTTACATGATGAAAATGATAGTATCTCAACAGATGCTCTCAGCAGTTATCTATCTCATCCCTATTTGTTCTGCCTTCAAGTGTCACTACCTTATATACTAACTTCCCACCACACTATCTCGTACACAGTGTTCCCATTATAATATCGTGTACACTGTATTCCCCTTACAGTATATTGTGTACTCCTTTCCCATCATACTGACTTGTGCATCGTCTCCCGTCGTGGTATCTTCTGCACTGCATTTCGATTGCACAATCAAATACTTTGCTTTCCTTTAAAATTGTATGCACCACCTTCCCTTCAAACTATCTCGAACAACGTCTTCTAATCAAACTTTCTTATGCAGGGCTTACTACGGGTGAATATGATTCAATTTAAATATATGACAGTCTCATTGAACATACATCTGCATTGTTTTCATTTGTGTGTAAAACTTCTCAATGTATTCAGTCTAATCAACTGCTTACCTACACGACTTTGTTTCTCTTTGTGAATGTAATCAACTGCGTTTACCTAAATAATCACTGTTTCGGCGTAGTGGGTAATGAACAGGCAGACAGTTTGGCTGGATCTGCATCACTGGATGGTAAATTGATACATGACTAGGCAGATGTGGTCAAGGCCCTTTGGGAACAAGCAATGGAATCAGTAGAGAAACAAGATTATTATGGCCTGGGGAGAAGGAGGCCCCTGGGTGTAACCAGAGGGTCTGGCTGGCTGACTACACTTAGAGGAAAAGCAAGACGGATATATAACCAGATTGTGACCAGTACCATCAGTATTGAAACTATGTGCTGGCTGCTGAAGACGAGGACGGAGAAAGCATGGGAATGCCCCGGGTGCTGTGATGTCAATTGTTGACTCAACTGTTTCAGTTTGTGCATAAAATCAACAGTGTTTGGCTACGTTACCCATATTTCTCTGTGTGTGCATCTGTCAGCACCCAGCAGTGTGTAGAGTTAGCTACCTGTGCCTGTGATCATTTTGCCAGTCTGTGCTATGCACTTATATTCTCGTTATCATGACAGGATCTACATTCGTAGCCACATTTCATGCATTAATGAGAAACATACAGGCGGGTGACCTGGGCCGTGACAATGGTTGGAAAGGTTAAATGTATTGTGTCCTTTGTTTCTTATCTACAGTATTCAATGATCAAAGATTAAACTTTAAACTATCGTTTTTGTACTTTTTTCACCTGCAATACATTTAATTTCAGTGCAAAGATTCTGGCTAGATACAGCTGTATTGGAAATGTTGCTTTTTATATTCGAATATAAATTTCACTCAACAACACGACTAACGTAAAATTGTAGGACGAAATCAAAATCAAGTTTAAAATTTAAAAACAAAACTGCACGCACACACACTCACGAACACACTCATTCATACACACCACACAACCATGTGTACATACATACCAACGCACACATACTCAAACACACACAAATGCACCCCCCCCCCCCCCCCCCTAAATATATCCATGCATTGAAACACAATCCATAAAAATGCTTCTATAAGAAAACAACAAAATAGACACAACTGCAATAGGCAGCTTGCACAAAGAAAACAGAAGTAATGGTATTTTCAACAACAACAACAAATATGCCTTCCAAAATATAACAAGCAAGTAATTAGGACAAAGCAAGTAGATACATTTAAATATTAAGACGCCATAATAACAATGGGTGGGAAACATATTAAAAGAGTTAAACGTAGAATATCGCAATTAAAAAGCAGCATTTCAAAGCATGAAGAATAGTCAACGCATTTTTTTTTTTTTTTTTTTCAGTTGAGTGCAAACTAAGCGTCATCTGCTCAGATCACTAGCTATTAGAACGTTTACATATGGCATTGAAACGTGGAGCTTTACAGCTGAACGCGAAAAGAAACCCGGCAGCGAAAATAAGATCTTTTAGAAAAATTCTTGGCATATCATACAGAGACCACATCACAAATGACGAGGTTCGCCTTATAATAATCTAGCATATTGGCAACTATGAACCTCCTTTAAATAGAGTAAAAAAGCGAAAAATGCAATGGCCCGGATATGTAATACGATCTTACGGTCTCTCAAAAGCAATACTACAGGGCTCAGTAGAGGGAAGGAGGCAGACCAAGAAAGACCTGGAAACAGAACTTGACTGACTGGACAGGACTTAGGCATGCAACCATGAAGTCCACTGGATCTGACTGTCATAGGCGGAGGGCGTGGTTTGTTTGCGGAAAAAAATCGTCACGTTTACCCAGCATTCCCGAAAGGGAGCTTTAGGTTATAATTGTGACTAGATTATGTGTGCCATATGAAATGGCTTAGCGTTGCTCGCCATCAAGTAGCTCTGAAAAGAACTCCTGCAGCGTTGCTCGCCATCAAGTAGCTCTGAAAAGAACTCCTGCAGCGTTGCTGCGATGAAATAAGGCAGACCCAAATACTTTTCCGACCGCGACCAGCCAACGAGAGGCGAAGGGAGCTGATCAGACAGTCAGCAGCAAGTGGTGACCCAACGACACGCAGTGTTACGGGATGGTGTTAGTTGTGTTTCCTGCACAGGACGTTGCTGAACTAACTCCAGCATATTTTGGTTGTTGTGTTATTTCTAGGCAAATGTACGTCCAGTAGTTTGCCATTGTTTCTGGACGGTCGGCTTCTCGATACCACTGTCGAAACTAAAGCAAGGCGCAAGGCCCGCAGCTGGGATCGAACCCGGCACCCCAGCATACGAAGCTCGTTCACAACGCCGAAGCCACAGACGCCGACACGGGATGATGATCTGTTTTATTTCAAATACGTCAAGAGAAAGGGAGAACTGAGTGGAGTATGTCGGAACGATGGGAAAGTTGGGGACTGGGTAGAGAAGATTAAGGTTTGGGTGGGTGAGGGGTAGAGGCAAATTGAAATTAGTTGTCAAGATGCTGGACGATTTGGAATTAGAAATTGTGTTAGACGTTTTACTTGGGTGGGGGGGGGGAGGGGTGCATTTGCGTGTGTTTGCGTATGTGTGCGTGGGTATGTGTGTACGAATGCTTGTGTGGGCTCCGGCGCTTGTTCATTGCTTTTTGTTTGAAAACGCAAAGACAAAATCAAATAATATGCGCACAATTCTCAGTGAATATTGTCTTTTTTCATTTGTCAATATCTGTTTTGTGCCAGATGACAGGAATTAGTAATTAGAAGAAAAAGATAGGTAGAAGAACAGCGGAAGAGGAAGAAGAAGTGAAGAAGGGAGGGAGAAGAAGAAGAAGAAGAAGAAGAAGAAGAAGAAGAAGAAGAAGAAGAAGAAGAAGAAGAAGAAGAAGAAGAAGAAGAAGAAGAACAAGAACAACAACAACAACAACAACAACAACAAAAACAACAACAACAAAAAACGACAATAACAACAAGAACAAGATCGTTATAATACTTTTGAAAGTAGGAGTCTGGCTATTTTATACCGGATAGCCACACATTGCCTCTTTCACCTGGCTAATCCTTAAACTTCAGCAAAAATACAAACAGTATTAGATATGGATAGCCTTACCATATGCAACTATTTATGACAGAAATCACAAAAAAATAATCATCTTTATCAACAGACCTACTTGACAACAACAAAAACGGATAACATGCTACAGGAGGGTACAACGACCGTCGAAACGATAAGATAGTAAACTCAGAGCAAACACAGGCCGACGTCTGTGTAATCATTGGGGCTTTTGTAGTAAACTTCAAGCAACAGTGCATTTATAGATACTGAAAAACTGTGTCCCATAAGTTCATTCGATAAAAAACAAGAAAGTCTGCATTCTTTAAAGCTGTTCCAGACAGTAAAGAGTCGATAACAAACAAGAAAGTCTGCATTATTTAAAGCTGTTCCAGACAGTAAAAAGTCGATAAAAACAAGAAAGTCTGCATTCTTTAAAGCTGTTCCAGACAGTAAAGAGTCGATAACAAACAACAAAGTCTGCATTCTTTAAAGCTGTTCCAGACAGTAAAGAGTCGATAAAAAACAAGAAAGTCTGCATTCTCTAAAGCTGTTCCAGACAGTAAAGAGTCGATAAAAACTAGAAAGTCTTCATTCTTTAAAGCTGTTCCAGACAGTAAAGAGTCGATTAAAAACTAGAAAGTCTGCATTCTCTAAAGCTGTTGCAGACAGCAAAGAGTCGATAAAAAACAAGCAAGTCTGCATTCTCTAAAGCTGTTCCAGGCAGTAAAGAGTCGATAAAAACTAGAAAGTCTGCATTCTTTAAAGCTGTTACAGACTGTTGTCACATATCACTCCTGTCACGTGCCTGATTTAAGGATTTCTCCTTAAGAACCAACAGCACTCAGAAATAATTATGTTGAGTCGTTTGGCTCGTATTGGTCTAAGGGATGCCCCATGGCCAATATACGCTCAACTTATTTCTGGAGTAGGGCAACTCAAGTTTTGGCACTACAAAATATATCTGTATATGAATACAATATTCCTAGGCACACTTGGC